CCTTTGTTGGCAAAGTAATGCCTCTGCTTTTTAATAAGCTGTCTAGGTTTATCATAACTTTCCTTCCAAGGAGCAAGCATCTTAATTTCATGGCTGCAGTCACCATCTGCAGTGATTTGGGAGCTCAAAAAATAGTCTGTCACTGTTTCCCCATCTATTTGCCATGAAGTGATGGGACCAGATGCCATGATTTTATGTTTCTGAATGTGGAGTTTTAAGCCAACTTTTTCACTCTCTTCTTTCACTTTCATCAAGAGGCTCTTTAGTTCTTCTTCGCTTTCTGCCATAAGGGTGGCGTCATCTGCATAGCTGAGGTTATTGATATGTCTCCCGGCAATCTTGATTCCAGCTTGTGTTTCATCCAGCCCAGCATTTCTCATGATGTACTCTGCATATAAGTTAAATAAGCAGGGTAATAATATACACCCTTGATGTACTCCTTCCCTAATTTGGAACCAGTCTATTGTTCTATGTCCAGTTCTAACTGTTGCTTCTTGACCTGCATACAGATTCTTAAGAGGCATTCCCATCTCTTAAAGAATTTTCCACAGTTTGTTGTGATCCACACAGTCAAAGGCTTTGGTGTAGTTAGTCAATAAAGCAGAAATAGATGTTTTTCTGGAATTCTTTTGCTTTTTCTTAGCCTACAAATACACAAAATTATGTCCAAAAGATTTACAACTACAGACCAAACTTTACTAATCAATACCTTCCATCAACATATTGTATTATCTTCCTTTTTGTGAAATCAATCATTCATTCAGATAAATAAGAAATAGTGGCATCAAGAAGTTCAGGTTAAGTGGAGACCTTAAATAAATAAAACAAGTATAAAATACTATACTTCTTCAACGTTCTTGTGAAAACAGCCTCCTGAGAATATACATTTTTTTTAAGTAAGGTAGAGAGAGAAGTTTTCAGAGTCAGAAGGAAATTGTTTCAGTCTATCTGGCCAATGAATATTAAGTACCACTGAAGTCTAAGGCTACCACTGGCCATTCCTTTTGATGGTGAACAACAATAATAATGATCATAGCTTCTATTCCTTGTTTCCCATCTGCACATATAAGGAAAGGTAAATAACTGTAGCTGCTACAATCAGTAAACCCCCAAATCCCAGTTCTTAAAAATATCTGCTAGATATCAGGAGAAACTTATATGGGTCAGGTGGCTCTTCTTTGCAGTTTTCCTCTAAGTGTTTTCTGCAACTCTGTAATCTCCGAGTCTCTCTAGCAGTGATGGTGGAATAGAGAGGACTCCCTCCTGTCTCAACCTGTACATGACATAACACTTCCCTTTACATCCCATTGGTGAGATTTAATCACACTACTTTACCTAGGTCTTAGGGAGCTGAGAAATAAAGTTTAGCTCCATGCCAAGGAAAATGAAATGGATGGTGAACCCATATGTTATAATCTGCCACAGCCAGACACTTCACATTTGTTATGTGAAATTAATATATTACATGTTACATATACTAACTTTAATGTTTAGAAGAACCCTGGAAGGTATATGATATTAATCTCACTTCACAGAAGGGAAGTGAGAGATGCTTTATGTAAGTTTAAATAAATTGCCAAAAACACACAGTGAATTGTGGGACCAAGATACAAACACAGTGTGTCTTCAATGGATTAAAAAAAAAATAAGATTTTATAAATGAAGATGCAAAAATATATATGAATGGCCAAAGGATATAGAAAGAAACAAGAGCTGGTAACTAAGTTATGAGAAATGGTCAGGCTCAAAAATAGAGAACTATTCTATCAGAACATTCATGGAAAGTACTATCACATAATAAAATGGAAACTATCATGTGCTACCTAATAGTAATTTCAATCATACAGAAAGCAATGTAAAGACTGTAAATGCAGAATAAAGTGGTTTTAAAAGACCAGATTCTGGCAAATTGGTCAGAGTAATATTAGGGGATAGTGAGTGCAGGTGGGGGTAGGGACAGAACAGGATGTAATGTTTCAGAGTGCTTATGTTTCTCGCCATTTGCAGAAATCCATTTTCAATTGATCGGCCAATTCAGACATGCCTCTTTTAGCCAAAAAGGGAGACTCTAACCACCTCTCTCCTCTCATTAAGATACCATGTCAGCAACATAGACATAAAACATATTTAAAGACAAGTCATTTCTCATATTTCCTTGTATTAAGAACAAACTTTCATGAAAATCAATTGACAACAAGACTTGAACCTTTAAGTAAATTTTGGGAGATTCCATTAGAGTCTAAAAATAGTCTATAGATAGTAAAAAAAATTCTGAAATAAGATAGTGACTAAAGCCGATTTAGACCAGCATAGGACTAGGAGAATATAGCAAAAGCAAAATAAAAGCAAAAAACATAGGAAAAAAAGATCTCTATAACCTGGAAAAAAGAATATTTTAATATGGAAAATATTTCCCTGATCTTTTACTTAAAGGCCCATTTCACTAAATCCAAATAGTGGGTTTGCTTTGCTAACTAATGACATAGAGTTGTCAAAAACTGTTAGCAACAGCTATTTTGTAATATGGCCAGTTATTAAAGCATTTTAATGCAAATTTCTCAGGTGTAGTGTACACAGTACCTCTTCTGAGATACAGGAATAGATATTCTATAAATGAGGATTTTGTGCTGGGTGAAACAAATCATGAAAAAATTTACAATAAAACTTAGCAAAGCCTTTAATATTAATACTTACTATGGGTCTGAGATAGGAAGACGGATATACAACATTCAGTGTTTCACCAGTGGACCCTTTCATTTTGCCATGAAGCATATGGTGGCATTAGTGGTAAAGAACCCACCTGCCAATGCAGGAATGTAAGAGATATGGGTTCGATCCCTGGGTTGGGAAGATCCCCTGCAGAAGGGAATGGCAACCCCATTCCAGTATTCTTGTCTGGAGAATCCCACGGATAGAGAAGCCTGGCGGGCTACAGTCCATGGGGTCACAAAGGGTTGGACATAACTGAAGTGACTTAGCACGTAGTACATACTGAGGGATGAATGTCTTTTGGCTCATTCTTGAAGTACTGATTTGGCACCACTCCTCTCCATCAACAGAGGCCCTTGTTTTCAATTGTGAAAAAGGGGATAATGCAGTTAGGAGTTGTAAAAAGCAGTTGGGAAATGGGGGATAATGGTTAGGAGTATGAACTCTGGAGTTAGACTGCTGGCATTCAAACTCTGACTTGCTGCAGACTCTTGGGCAAGTTACTTGAGCTCTCCTTTTTCTTTATTTCTAGGATGGGCATGAGAGTAGTAACTAGCTAAGAAAAAGTTACTAGTGTTAAATAACTGGACACATTTAAAGTAGATGGAACAGTTTCTAGCATATGGTAAACTCCCAATATTAGCTCTTGGCTAATAAGGCAAGGCAGAGAAGGCAATGGCAACCCGCTCCAGTACTCTGGCCTGGGAAATCCTGTGGACAGAGGAGCCTGGTAGGCTGAAGTCCATGGGGTCGCCAAGAGTAGGACACGACTGAGTGACTTCACTTTTACTTTTCACTTTCATGCATTGGAGAAGGAAATGGCAACCCACTCCAGTGTTGTTGCCTGGAGAATCCCAGGGACGGCAGAGCCTGGTGGGCTGCCGTCTATGGGGTCACACAGAATCGGACACGACTGAAGCGACTTAGCAGCAGCAGCAGCAGCAGCACTAAGGCAAGGAACAGTTGCTCCAAATAAATATCTTCACTAGGACAACTCCAAATCTAGTCTGGGTTATGCTATGTGTGTGTGTGTGTGTGTGTGTGTGTGTGTGCATTAGTCATTCAGTTGTGTCTGACTCTTTGCAACACCAGGGACTGTAGCCCACCAGGTTCCTCTGTCCATGGGGATTCTCCTGGCAAGAATACTGAAGGGGGTTGCCATTCCCTTCTTCAGGAGATCTTCCCAACCCAGGGATCAAACCCGGGTCTTCAGCATGGCAGGCAGATTCTTTACCATCTAAGCCACCAGGGAAACCCAGGTTATGCTATAGAGAACATCTTTATTTTGTAGGGAGGTTTTTTTCCTAAGACTACTTCTAAAAATCATACTTTGAAATTTAAACTTTGTTATTAAACTCAGAGAGGTTTTTTTCCCTCTAGGTTAAAAACATGATCATTTAAACCTTCATTTCTTTCACTTAAGACTCCAATTTTCAGTCGGTTGCAGTGATATATTAATAGATGAGGTTATTTTCATCTTTGTTTTACCATCAGGACTCCAAAGATGACCAGATCCTTCTACTAAGGAATAGTTCTTAAATTCTGCATCCATGAATAACCAGATAACTAACGCCTGATTAGCGCTTCATCACTGACAGTATGTTTTCACATACATTAGAGCACTTACGGTTCTTCCTGAACCATTTTCCTTTAACCCAGGCTGTCTCCTTGCCCCACCTGTAGGTTCAGCCATATGTATATTCACCTCCAAGCAGGAAGTATGAATTACTTATTACTCGTAAATCCATTTCACTGAAGAAGGATTTCAGACAAATAACAAAAGATTGACTCAGGATCAACATTAGCTCTACTCTTATCACCTACCTCCCCAGCAAGTGACCAGCTGCTCAGATACCCAGTAACTGGCTCTGACTCCATTGCTCCAGCTCTCTCCTACAGAGCTCACATACTACCATCACCTGGAGCCTGTCTTGTTGGCCCCAAAGACCCTTTATTCCAACTCCCAGATTCCAGATAACCAGGTCTCCTATATCATAATCTGTTCTGAGGAACGGAGAATTCTTGTGGGAAATCTATACAAAAGTTTCTCAGTTTTTTTTTTTTTAATTTTTAATTTAAAAATTTTAAATTTTGTTTAATTTTTCTGTTTAATTTTGCAATTAAAAAAAAAACCAATGGGACCTGTCCAATAAATCCTACTAATGAAGTAATGGATTGTCAAGCACAACTGGCCAAAGTGCCTCCTATGTCTTTGAAGCTGATATACAGATTACTTAACAACCTAAAGAATGTAGGTGTAAGCATTGGTGGTTCAGTGGTAGAATTCTCACCTGCCACGTGGGAGGCCTGGGTTCGATTTCCAGCCAATCCAAGAACACTGCTATTGGGTATCCATGGTGGTTCAGATGGTGAAGAACTGCCTGCAAAGTGGAAGTCCTGGATTCGATCCCTGGGCTGGGAAGATCCTCTGAAGGAAGGCGATGGCAACCCACTCCAGTAATCTTGCCTGAAGAATCCCCACAAACCAAGGAGCCTGTCAGGCTACAGTCCACGGAGTCCCAAAGAGCCGGACATGACTGAGCGACTAAGCATAGCATGAAGAATGTAGATATACTCAGGCTGAGGAAAGAGAAAAAAGCAGGCACCCAAAACTAGTGTTTCACATCTGAATGGTATGTACTAATGTATTTTTTTTGACTGATTTATTCAGATTTTTCCATTAAAGAATTCCAAAATATAGCTTAATTTTTCTGATACTTACCTGCTCCTTTAGCTTTCCTAAATAATACTGCCCCAATTTGGGGTTACATTTTTATTGTGGTAAAATATATGTAACATTAACATTTTTTAATGTACAATGCATTGGTATTAATTACATTCGCAAAGTTGTGTGGCCATCACCACTATGAATTTACAAAACCTTTTCATCACCCAAGTAGAAACTCTGTACTCATTTTAAGCAGTAAATCTCCATTCTTCCTCCACCCAGCCACTGATAACTTCTGTTCTATTTTTTGTCTCTATCAATTTGTCTGTTCTAGATATTTCATGTAGGTGGAATCTACAGTATTTGTCCTTTAATGTCTAGTATATTTCACTTGTTCTCAAGGTTCATCTTTCTTGTAGCATGTATCAGAATTTCAATCTTTTTATGGCTGAATAATATTGTATTTATATACCACATTTTGTTTATTTGATAGTGCTTGGGTTGTTTCAACCTTTTGGCTAATGTGAATAATTGTACAGTGTGTACAAGTATCTGTTTGAATTCCTGTTTTCAATTATTTGGGGGTATATACCTAGATATCTAGGAGTTTAATTGCTGGGTCATGTGGTTACTCTATTTTTAGCTTTTAAAGGAGCCTCCAAACTGGCTTCCACAGCCACCATACCACTTTACATTCCCACTAGCAATGTATGAGAGTTCAAATTTCTCCACATCCTCAGCAGTATGTTATTTTGTTTTTGTTATTATATCCATCCTAGTAGGTGTGAAATGGTATCTTGTTGTGGTTTTTATTTGCACTTGACTATTGGCTGATAATGTTAAGCTTTCTTTATGAGCTTATTGATAATTTGTATATCTTCTTCAGAGAAGTGCCTATTTAATTCCTTTGCCTATTTTTAAATTGTTGTCTTTTTATTATTGCATTTTAGGATTTCTTCATATATTCTGGATATTAAACCCTTACCAGATATATGACTGTAAATAACGTTTCCCATTCTGTAGGCTGTTTTTTAAAATAATATCTTTTGATTCAAGGAACTTTTCCATTTTAATGGTCAAATTTGTCTATTTTTTTCTTTTGTTGCTTGCGTGTTCTGTGTCACTGATCCACTTTGAGTTAATTTTTATATATAGTATGAGGTAGGAGTCCAACTTCATTGTTTTGCATAGGGAAATCTAGTTGGCCCATTACCTTCTTTGAGGAAACTATTCTTTCTCCATTGAATGGACCTAGCACACTTGTCAAAAATCAACTGACCACAGATATTTATTTCTGGACTGTCAATCCTATTCTATATGCTTACATATCTATCCTAATGTCAGCATCACACTGTTTTTATTACTGCAGTTTTGTACTAAGATTTTAAAATAAAGAAATGGGAGTTCTCCAACTTTGTTCTTGTTCTTCAAGATTACACTAGCTATTATGGGTCCTTTACAATTCCACATGAATTTGAGGATTGGCTTTTCCATTTCTGAAAAATAAAAACAACCTGGAATTTTTATAGGAATTATACTAAATTTCTAAATAGTTCTGAATAATATTGACATCTTAAAAACTGCATTTTCAGGCTTAAGCACTTGAGCAATATGTAAGTTTAGTAAGTTTAGGAATATCATATAGTATATTCCATATAATTTTTATTCTTAAAGATTCAACCTCTAATTCATTTCAATGTATGACAAAAACCACTGCAATGATGTAAAGTAATTAGCCTCCAACTAATAAAAATAAATGGAAAAAAAAAAAAAGAGTCAACCTGCACTGGCATATTAAATACTCAGAGAAATTTTGTAAGATAGAAGTTTTCAAAATTTAGTTTAATTCTGTATTTCCAAATCCATTGACCCCAAAATCTTTTTTCTTAACAGCTATGCTGTACTATTGAGCTCTGGAGTCAAAGGGCCCAGTTCAAATTCCAGCTCAACTGTTTACCAATGACATTTATCTAATCCTCACATCCCTCATCCATAAAATGGAAATAATAACTAAAACTACTTCAAAGACGTGTGAGCACTGGATGATAAAATGCATAGAAATCACATACTAAGTACTAAACAAATTTAGCTAAAACTGTTGTTAACAGTTCTCAAAATGAGAGTTTGTAGAACATAATTTGAAAATGGAATCATAATTATACAATAACAGCATAAAATGCATACACAAATAATTGCTGCAGGTCTATTATATACAACTGGGAATGTAAAACTTATTGGAAGGCTTTCAGGTAGCACATATTTGTGAGAAGGTTTGCAATCCTGGCAAAGTGTGGCACTTTCATTCAGGGATGAAGGACCATGTAGTGTCATGGCCATTGTGAGATCTGCTGATGTCTCTATAGCTGTTTGCAAACACAGAGACTGTCCAAGAAAGGATAAAGGTAAAGCTGGTGCTCAGAGGCAGATAAAGAAAGAGCAAATGAGAAGGGAGTGCAAACTCATGCCACTTCTCTTACTCCAATCAGTAGTATCTATCTTCCCATTAATATAACCCCGTTTCTCAAATACAAACAACAAAAAAGATGCTCTTCATAGTGGTTACTTTCCCCCCCAAAAAAGATGAATCATGTTCTTTTCCTTTGAAACAGAAAGTTAAGAATTAAGAGAAAATACTACCAACTGTTTTTCTTTTAAAATGGAGGGTTTGTTGAAACCATACTCTGTAAAAGATGACATGTGTGTGCCTAGACGCTAAATCATGTCTGACTCTTTGTGACCCCACAGACTAAAGCCCGCCAGGCTCCTCCTGTCCATGGGATTTTCCAGGCAAGAATAATGAAGTGGGTTGCCATTTCCTTCTCCAAGGGATCTTCCTAACTCAAGGATCGAACCCATGTCTGTCTCCTGCATTGCAGACAGATTCAATACCCGCTGAGCCATTTGGGAAGCCCCATAAAAGAAGACAATACAGAGTAAATACAGCAGACTTTATTTAGGTTGATAGAAAATCCATAGGGAGACAATAAACAACTAATTGCCATTGTCTATATATTTGCAGAGCTATTTTTCTAAACAGCAAAGTACAGCTGAGCTATTGAAAATCCTAAAGATGATGCTATTAAAGTGTTGCACTCAATATGTCAGCAAACTTTGAAAACTTAGCAGTAGCCACAGGACTGAAAAAGGTCAGTTTTCATTCCAATTCCAAAGAAAGGAATGTTCAAACTACCACACAACTGCACTCACTTCACTTGCTTAATAAAGTAATCCTCAATATCCTTCAGCTAGACTTCAGCAGTATGTGAACTGAGAACTTCTGGACGTAAAAGCTGGATTTAGAAAAGGCAAAGGAACAAGAGATCAAATTGCCAACATCTACTGGATCAGAGGAAAAGCAAGGGGATTCCAGAAAAACATCTATTGCTTCACTGACTACACTAAAGCCTTTGATTGTGTGGATCACAACAAACTGGAAAATTCTTAAAGAGATGGGAATACCAGACCACCTTTTCTGTCTCCTGAGAAATTTGTATGCAGGTCAAGAAACAAAGTTAGAACTAGACATGGAATAACAGACCGGTTCAAAATTAGGAAAGGAGTATGTCAAGGCTGTATTTGTCTCCCTGATTATTTAACTTATATGCAGAGTACATCATGTGAAATGTTGAGCTGGATGAATCACAAACTGGAATCAAGACTGCTGGGAGAAATACAACAACCTCAGATATGTGAGATACTACTCTGATGGCAGAAAGTGAAGAAAAACTAAAGGACCTCTTGATGAGGGTGAAAGAGGAGAGTGAAAAAGCTGGCTTAAAACTCAACATTCAGAAAACTAAGATCATGGCATCCGGTCCCAACACTTCATGGCAAACAGATGAGGAAAAAGTGGAAACAGTAACAGATTTTATTTTCTCGGGCTCCAAAACTACTGCAGAGGGTGACTGGAGACATGAAATTAAAAGATGCTTACTCCTTGGAAGGAAAGCTGTGACAAACCTGGACAGTGTATTAAAAAGCCAAGACATCACTTTGCTGACAAAGGTCTGTCTAGTCAAAGCTATGGTTTTTCCAGTAGTCATGTATGGATGTGTGAGTTGGACCATAAAGAAGGCTGAGTGTTGAAGAATTGATGCTTTTGAATTGTAGTGCCGGAGAATACCCTTGAAAGCCCCTTGGACTGCAAGGAGTTCAAACCAGTTAATCCTAAAGGATATCAACCTTAAATATGCATTGGAAGGACTGATGCTAAAGCTGAAGCTCCAATACTTTGGCCACCTGGTTCAAAGAGATGACTCACTGGAAAAAACTCTGATGCTAGGGAAGACTGAGGGCAGGAGGAAAAGGAGGCAACAGAGGATGAGATGGTTGGATGGCATCACAGACTCAATGGACATGGGTTTGAGCAAACTCCAGGTGATTGTGAAGGACAGGAAAGCCTGATGTGCTGCAGCCCATGGAGTTGCAAAGAGGCGGACATGACTTAGCAAATGAACAACAACAAAGTATATTACATATTATTGAAGAAATTTTATTATCTAAGTATCACTTTGATGTTGTAATAATTTCATCACATTAACACAAGAGAACATAGAAGTTTTATTAATATTAATGTATAGTTGTGAAACAAATAAACTAAACTCTAATGGCTGAATAGCTCTGTTTCTGTTTTGCAATAAAAATAAATAAGTTTTCTACAGGGAACCTTGTCCCATGCTTTTCTATGATTAAGCTGCCTCTTCAATGCAGTAGTCATCAATTTATAGGATACCATTTATGGCT